GCTTTTCCCTAGCTGCTCTCATGATTTTCTCCTCCTCAAAGGTGGATAGTTTATTGTGTGCCGTGGTGACTTCTTGGGATTCAGTCTAGCTGGTGTTCTTTCAGCCTCCTGAATGGTTGTCTGGTTTTCATACATTAAGCTGGGGAAGCTTTTCTCCAAGAATTCTCTCACTATTGTTGTGGATGACTTTTTTGTTGTGTCTTCCTCCAGTAAGCCAATAATTCTAATGTTGTTCCTATTCATAGCATCAGATATTGCTCTTAGGTTTTCTTCAGCTTCACTGATGATCTTATTAGATTTTTCTCCATGTTTGTTAAAGTCTGCTTGGCTGTCCTCCAAGTCACTGATTCAGTTCTCTGCTTCCTCCAGGCGATTCTCGAGGTCCGTGTTTCTGTTACTGGTTTTTGTTATCTCCACCTTAAGGTCCTGTATTTCCATTTTGTGTGTGGCCTTTATCTCCTCTATCATTTCATCCCTTTTCTGTATTGTTTCCCTCATATCCTATATGACTCCAAGCAGCTTTCTGAACATTTCTTTCTGTGGCAGCTCGTCTGCTGCTTCTGTGGATGCGTTATATTCAGGACATCTGCCATTGCCTTTGTTTCTCCTGTTTTTTCGTTGATGTCGTTGGGGCTGTTGGTTGTTTGCGTTGCGTTTTAGGGAATCAAAGAGCACTGGCGCTCTCAGGGAGACTTGTAGGAATGCTTCTTCAAACTGCCTACCATTCATTTCACTATGGAATTAACCTACCACTTTATCCTCCTGTGGCTTCCCGCTCATGGGAGTGCCCCAACAGGCTGGTGGGTTGCCCTGATTTGGTGTTGGGGAGCTTGGGCAGAGGTTCCTGCAACAGCTTGGGATGTTGATGAGTGTTGGCCGAGCTGCTTTAGGCTCCCAGGCACACAGGCAGGAATTCCCTGCTGAGAAGTTGGGCAGAGTATCCCCTGGTAGATATCGGCAGGCTGTTCCCCAGTCTCAGACTAACTGCACAGGGTGAAGCTCACCTCGCTGGGTGTGGTGCAGGAGTATATGCCCTAGGCTAAGAGGAGTGGTTTGGAAGTCAGCAGTGGAGTGTGAGAGAACAGGAAAGAGACAAAGAGGAGGGGGGAAAATTAAAAAGTAAGCCTGTTGAGACTGTGTGGGGATATAGAGAAGAGAGGGAAACAAAAGCAACAATGTAGCCGAGCCCAATGCAACTGCGTCCAGAACCTTGCCCCTGGAGCTGCAAGGGTTTAGGCAATGGAGGGCAAGCTGTGGCTGTGTTGAGAAAAAGCCCCTGCACAGCCCTCCAAGACTGGGGGGATAGAGAAGAGGTGGAAACAAAAGTAATAATGTAGCTGAACCCCGATCCCTGCCTGTGGAGTTGCAAGGGTCCAGTCCCTGCCAAAAGGCAGGCAGTGGCAAACTGTGGCTGTGTTGAGACCAAGCACCCCTATGGGCTCCAAATGGTCCCATCTCTTGCAGAGAGAGTGGCGGGGCCAAGGTCAAGCCCCAGCCGGCCTCCACTGTGGTAAGCCAAAAGCCCCCAGCCCCTTAAAACCCCATGGGTCTATCTTTATGATGCTCCTCCTGTGATCCAGCAGCGTTGAATTTCCCTCTTAAACAACTCCCCTAAGCTGAATTCTGTGGAGTCCCTCTGGTATGTGTCCACAGCTGCCTTACGGATCCAACAATGGTCTGGTTTGATGATCAGAATCATCAGGAATGTGCCATGGTGGAGAAGGCCTCTGTTTTCTACTTTTAAAGCTTTCTCAGAACATTCTCGTAATAAGCTGTTATCATCACCTATGGCTTGCTAAAAGTCAACGTGTAAAATTGAGCATTCCCAAGTCTATTGCCATCATCACAGATAGTTTATTGTACCAGCCTGGCCAATAAACACAAGTGGGATTAAGTGAAGGGCAGAGAGATAAATGCCTTGGTGAGCCTC